CCCCCCCCCAATTTTTAGGGGCATAAAACATGTGCTTTATTGGCTTTACCCAATAGTCGGTGTTTATAAACTTTAATTCTTATTTGATTGAGTGTCAATTGACACTACTAAATTGAAAATGCAAGGTTTTCGTTATTTGCTTGAGATATAATGATAGCTATTTCGAGCCCGTTTGGACATACAAATTTTTTTCTTTTTTTCCATTTTTTTTTAAAATAATGTTTGATTTCGATGAAGACTGGTCATGACTTGCTTGGGATTTAGGTTACTTTTTTGTGTTTGTTAGTGTGTTTTGGTGTGTGTTCGTTAGGGTGGGGGAAGGGCTGAGAAAGACAGAGATAACTAATGTAATTAATTCCGTAAAATAATAGAGACAAAAAATATGATTAGTTTGCTTGTCATTTTCCCCATGCATGCATGGATCTCTAAGTTATATATATTTCGTTGTGCCAAATCGATTTGAAAATTTATTTTGGGTTAAAATCATGCTTTCGACAGTCTACTGTCTAGTTAGTCTTAATTTATTTAGACTTTTGAAATAAAAACTTAATTAGTCGCTATTTCATAATACTTTTTCTTTGAATTTATAAATTGTCTAATATATTTTTCTAAATTTTGAAGATCTCTAGGTACTTACCTCGCCATTGAGGGCTACTATTTCACGTTTTGGTTTCTAGATTCACTAAATAGGAATGTTGTACATTAAGAGGTGGAGCCAGAATTTCAAGCTTATGGGTTCGGAATTTTTATCGCTTTAAATTACTTGGCTTTAAATTAATAATTTATACATATTCAATGAATTTTTAAGACAAATACAGAGTTCGAACCAAAGCTACTGAGTTTGACCGAACCCGCTCTCGACAATCTAGCTCCACCCTTATGTACATTGCTTCATCAGAATCTCCAGTAATGTAGTGTAATTGGGGAGTCTTTAAAGAGAAATTTGACAGATCTGGCTCTTCGAATGAATTGTCTAACAAGTAAAGAAACTGGAACCTCGTTCATATTTGAGTTTTTGGCCAATATTGTCCCTTATCTTTGAGAGTATGTCTATTTTGGTCCTTCAAATATAATCTTGAGCATATTTAGTCCCTTAAATATGCTAAGGTAGAGCACATTTAGTCTCATGACACAATATGTTCAAAAACTAACGGTGTTATCCAACTCTGATTCATAAAGCAAATCTTTTGCTCTGAAGCAAAACATTTCCTCTCCTTTTATTGGATAACACAAATTATCACTTTAATTCCTCATTTTTAGATAATGTCTTCTAAAATTTTAACCTTGAAAATATCCCCTTCTGTGCCAGTTTTTAAAGAAAAAATAACACTGTATAGCCGTTGTAAAAATAATAGCCGAAAAAGGTATAAAATTTGTATTTTTTTTTGTGTATATATACATTTTGTATGTTAATATACAAAAATTATTCAAATTTTATATACTTTTTCGGCTACCAGATGTAAATAGTTTTTGACACTGGCTAAAAGTGATAATACAACATGGTTATTCGTTTGCTTCAATAATATTCCTAGAAGTGATCCTGGCAGCTCTTTTTTTTTTTAAATTATAACTTTTCTTTTTGGAAAAAACAACCGAAATTTTAAATGTAAATATATATATATATATATATATATATATATATATATATATATATATATATATAAATATATATATTATTGATAGAATATTACATTAATTAGTATTTTATGTTTATTAATTGTAAATAAAGATAAATTTTATACATTCAGATGTTAAAAAACAAACAGTCTTAATCATTTAATATTTAGTTCTTAATACACATCTTAACATTCATCCTTGCTATAAATTAGTATATCATCAAAATAAACAACGACAAATTTTCCACTTTAGATAGTTTATCATTTTATCCTAATTCCTATGTGTGCTACTTTTACCTTCCACTATGTGCTCATTTCTCATCTTGTGTAAGCTTGTCTGACCGCACATCCATCTTAACATTTGCATTCTTGCGACACTCATTTAGTGTGTGGATACGTTAGACCTTATAGGCTTAACATTCGCTCTTCAATGAAACTCATACCTTTTCATCAAAAAAATAAAAATAAAATAAAAGAAAAAGAAAAACAAAAAACCATTGGCTCTCTTATAACTATTTTGTTCTATTACATAAGGGGATAGAGGAAGGGGCAAGCTGAAAGGGGACAGTAAGAATTGAACCCACACTTATTATGTAGGAAATTCTCACAGGTACCACTAAACTATAAACCTTCCCGAGTTAAATGAGATTGAATCGATACTCTTTCAGATGCCTGAAACTGTAGCTTTCTCATCACCTCCACTAATTTTAGTAACATACAACTATATCTTTAGGAGTGCATAATCATCTATATTTGGCTTGATTGGTGGCATTAATATGTAAATATTTCTTTTATACAGATCTTTGAGATCATTGGCTTTGTCTATCAATACCTTAAGCTCCTACGTCAAAATTCTCCTCAAGATTGGATATTCAAGGAACTCCAAGATACTGCAAATGTGGAATTTAGATACGCGGAGGAGCAACCTCAAGATGATTATGCTGCAGAACTTGCAGGTTATCTACCTTTCCTTGTGTATTTTCTGTGTCTCTTTCTGCTCTCTATAATATTGAAATTGACAGTTGGTTAATACAAACTGTTGCATGTTGCTAAATCTTTTCTTTTTTTCTTTTAAATAATTTTTTTTCCTTCAAAATATGTGCTCTAAACAGTAAGCACTCTCATATAGTGTTCTCACCAACTCAAAGGATCCATTAAATAGCACAAGAGAAATGTTTCCTAGAATATCTTACTTCTGGAAAGGAAACTTCAGCAAAGAAATTTTACTTATAAAAAGACATTAGCAAAGATGTTTAGGAGATTTTTAAAAATATATAGCTCAAAACAACACTTTGTACCCATGTCGCCACATATTTCTTTGTTGCTCGGACTCTTCAAAAATATCGTCGGGTGCAGTTGGATCCTCTAAAAATAGTGTATTTTTTTGAGGATCCGACACGGGTGAGGCATTAATTTTGGAGAGTTCGCAACACAGCATATTTTCGTTTACATAAGCATAACCAACATTTTTTTGCAACAGTGTTTATACACCCTTATACATTATTATACTGTATTTACACATATTTAAATAATGTATCTACCTTGTATAGAAGCGTAACCAATGTATAAAGTGCATGAAATATTATAAAAGTGTATAACACGTTGCTAGCTGTATAGATCAACTTCTTCGAGTTCAGTGGCAATCCTTGTTCAAAATCAGTCTAATAAAAAAAAAAGCGGTTCGGTGCACTAAGCTTTTGCTATGCGCAGTGTCCGGAGAAGGGCCGGACCACAATGGTCTATTGTACGCAGCCTTACCTGCATTTCTGCAAGAGGCTGTTTCCATGGCTTGAACTCGTGGCCTCATGGTCGCATGGCAGCAACTTTACCAGTTACGCCAAGGCTTCCCTTCTTCAAAATCAGTCTAAATCTTCATGAAAGGACTTGAAATTTTGCAGACAACCTCGTTAGACTATTTTCAATAAGTCTAAACAACACCTGCTCGAAATTTCACACTAAAATCGGTTTTGAAATTCAATCCCACTTCTTCAAGCTTGTTCAACAACGGTTGGTTACTTTTCAACCTGATTTTCCCTTCCCAAATCTTACAAGATCAATACTCTAACCATGATTTGAGCTCCAAACACAAGAACAAATCGAGTTTTTCAACTAACAATTAATAGGACTCACAATTTTCAGATTCAACTTTGAAGATATGAACTAAAAGATTTTTACAATGGAGATTCCAAGACTTCCCCTCCTAATCCGAATGCAAAAACACGGATGAATTCGCTGCTTGTCTAGAATTTTCCAGATTTGTGTGGCGGTCAGAGAGGGGAAAAGAGAGGACATAGAAAAAGCTATCTGTTCTTTTACAAATTGTATACCAAGTGGGTTATATCGGGTAATGTTGGATGAAATGATGATGTATTAACATGTGCATCGACATAGGGTGTACAAATCTCAAGAAATTTTAGGATAACATGAGGTAAGCAGTTGAAGGTGAGGGGTTTGGAGCAACCGTTTAAGCACAATTGGTTAGCTGAAAACTTTAGTTTGAATATTTCATTTATGACAAGGAGAAGCCTCCTTCGTTTCCCGTAGCCCATAGGGTTCAAGAAGAAATGGAGATTAGCTTTGAACTCTTTCCTTTAGAATTCTACCTTGACTAAAAGAGACACAAGTATGAGTGCATGCTACTAGCAGGAGGATGGAATAATCAAGGTTCGAGCAAGCAAGGCCAAACACGATAGTTTTATCTCAGGAAAAAAAAGAGTATGCTCACCCTTATGATGGGGGTTGCAGAGTAGTTGGTTGTTTGCAACAAACTTTTTATTTTATGTGTGGGAAGTTGTTCAGAATCTCTTTCATCCTTTTCCTTCTTTATATAGTAGGTGTGATGTGTAACATCGGAAGTCTTCTATATCTCAATCATATTTCTCGTATCTGCTAATATAAAGTTTCTTTGTTGCAGAGGGTTTGCTTGTTTATCCTCCCAAGCATGTCATATATGGTGACTATGCATATGATCTTTGGGATCCAGAGTTTATAAAGTATGTTTTAGATTTCTTCAGGCCCGAGAACATGAGAGTTGACATTGTTACGAAGTCTTTTCAGAAGTCAGATGGTAACTTCCACAACTCATTTTTCTTAGTACTTCAAGTTTAAAGTAGCATGTTTGTCCTGTAAAAGATGGCTTTGGTACCGAATTCTGTTAATCAAGATAAAGTGTAGACATAGGGTTTAAAAAGGTGTCTGGTGATACTTTCTTCAGGTTATAGCTTAGAGTATTGATTCAATTGACTGGAAGAAGGATTTGCCTGGAATTTGTTGTGATTTGAGCTCTTTTGTGTTCCATTAGTTTATTTTATGTCATGATAATGTGGGATATGCATTGATATGAAAAACTGCAACTAAAATAGTGCATGTAAAGCATTCAAAAGAGGAGGTGGGGGAATAATAAAGAAGAGGTCAAATGAAATTGGAAAGCTCACCAGCTCCTTGATCAGAAGGTTTCTTAACCAAAGAGGATAATCTAAATGGATATCATGCTGTAAATGGTAAAGATTCTTTTTTCAAAAAATCCTCTATATTTTTTATTCGGCAGACCCCAGTCAGGCAAATCGAACTGTCTTCAAAGCTCTGCTCTTCAAGGCTTATGATGTTAGGTTCTATGCCATAAAAAGACGGAAGAACATTCAAAAGATGATTAGCTGATCCTTCCTCTTTCTTACAGAGATTCAGTTTTTTATTTTGTTTTATTTTTGATAAGTAAGAATCAGTTTGCTAATCTGAATCCTCCGAATTGAAGATTATACCGAAATCAAATTATCCCAGTATATGCTGTCCGTATCAGAATTTGAACCTCAGAGCTGTACTACTTTTCCAAATATGTTTTCAATAAAATGTATCATTAGACTGGCTCCAAGATATGAAATTAGCATTACTGGATTTGATAGAGAAGATGTAACAAGTTGGGCTTTTGCAGATAACTGATCCACTTCCCCGCCCTGCATATCGTATTCAGATAAAGTTTGCAAGTAAAACTTCACTTCATGTGCAACAATGTGATCTTTGGTGAAAGCACTTGTTCTCCTATTGTGTTTTGTATCTGATAATATATATCTATCTTTTACTGCTGATGCATGCATTAGACACATTTAATTTTTAGTCGAATAAGCAGAACTCCAGAGGCACCTCAGCTTGCACGCCATTTTGTTTCTGGGACACAGCTTCATGTTTATACCCGTTCTCCTTTCCATTCCTTCCCCCTCCCCATTTTGAAATAAAGAAAGCCATAACTTATACACTGAATTGTCTCTTTTATTCTTTCTGGGTTTGCCCCTTTTCTTTGTGGTTCTTAATGTCCTCGTTTCTCTCTCAGATGTTCAGAAGGAACCATGGTTTGGGTCACGATATGTGGAGGAAGATATTCCATCTTCTCTGTTTGAATTGTGGAAGGACCCTGAAGAAATTAGTGTCTGCTTACATTTGCCTGCGAAGAATGAGTTTATTCCATCTGATTTTTCAATACGTGCTGAGAAGGTTAACTGTGATTCGAAAAACGCTAAACCACGATGCATACTTGAGGAACCTCTGATGAAGATCTGGTACAAGCTAGATAAGACATTTAAGCTTCCTCGTGCCAATACATATTTCCGTATCACACTAAGAGGGGGTTACGGTAATTTGAAGAATGCCTTGCTGACTGAATTATTTATTCACCTTCTAAAAGACGAGCTGAATGAGATTATATATCAGGTTATTTGCTTGATTGTTCCCTTCTACAAATATGAACAGCTTCTAAATTGCTCAATTACATAAGAACTACTAAGAGCAGATGTAATACCATCACATTTCTCTTAATAGTGGTATTTTTAGTTGTTGAATTACTAATATTCCTTCGTGGTATTTGGCTGTTGTTGCATCTAAATGCAGGCTAGTGTGGCTAAATTGGAAACTTCTGTTTCTCTATATGGTGACAAGTTGGAACTTAAGGTCTATGGCTTCAATGATAAGCTTCCGGTTCTTTTATCGAAGGTTTTGGCAATGACAAAATCATTTTTGCCCAGGGATGATCGCTTCATGGTATATGCGAATGCTTTGAACATGCTTCTTTGATTTATGTTTTCTTCACTTTTGCTTGTTCTTTTGCTTGGATCTTATGTTTCTCGTCATTTATTGTTGCTGTTCTTTGAGAATATGGGGGACAGAAATAAAAAGGGATGTGGCAAAAGGATTTTCCTGAAATTCACTTCAATGACTGAATTTTTGCGTTGCTGTTTACCCATCAGAAACAAAACAAAATGATGTTTTTTTTGTGTGGGTATAGTTGAAGGAAGAAAATGTGGAAAGGTTTCCATTTCTTCTATACTCTATTCTTGAGTAGTGAAAGGATGGCTCTTTGATGATCCTCGGCTCTTTCATTTTTAACTTGCTCGTTCACTCTCCTCTTAGTGAATGTTTCAATTTTTGAATGTGTGTAAAGGTAGCATTTGGAAACTGTGTCCAGATTGTTGTTATGTTCTCCCTAACTTTTCTAATGAAGGGGTGTCTTTGGGGAGTTCTTAGAAAGGCTCTTCTCCTGATCCATGCAAACTTAGCAAAAAATAGGGATCAGTTAAAGAAAAAAGATCTTTATAGGCGATACCAATTAGTTGGGATTAAGTTTTATCATGTTAGTATGTTTTTGGTTCAATATTTTTAGGAATCTTTTAGTGTTGTTAGAGATTTATATGCTGGTAAAGGATATTGAGAACTGTAGTACCTTATATTTTTAATTTCAAATTATTTATATAATATTGGACGAAGATGTGCTTAAATGGAGCATTGTGGACAGTAAGGTGCATGTCGAATGGGCTTCTATGTTTAAAGCCCGTCTTTGTTGCTGAAGACCTTTCTGGCTTCTTTGCAACCGTAACTGTTTAGTATCTTTAGCATAAGCTAAATGTGTTGCAGGCTTGAGCATACATTCGCTGTCTGTGATAATGATTTTGCTCTAAATGAGATTTAGGTGTTTTATTTCTTGGCTTCTTGCAATAAGGGTGAAGTTTGACAGGTTATCAAGGAAGATATGGAAAGAACTTTGAAGAACACTAACATGAAACCATTGAATCATTCATCATACCTGCGATTGCAAGTCTTGTGTCAGAGCTTCTGGAGCGTGGAAGAGAAGTTGCTCTTGTTAAATGACTTGACTCTCGCTGAGCTGAAAGCTTTCATTCCAGAGCTTCTTTCCCAGGTATGCTAGTTAAAGTTTAATATCTTTAAGTGATCTGTAAACTGTAATTGACTTATTGACAGTTATATGTGAAGGCCTTGACCTTTTTAAGAGCCTTATTTTTTTTAATGATGTTATTAGTGAATGGTTGTGTATATATGCAATAGTTGAAGGCGAAGGCACGTTGTATGTTCTTAGACCAAGCAAAACTGCAAAAGATAGGATAAAAGGTTTTGGTATCATGTTTCTTGGCTAATTGTTGCCTCGAAATGACTCACAATGGATAAATGGGCTGAGAAATAATACTCAAGGTTACTTACCAAAAGATATGACTGAATGTACTATTTATTGCAAATTCTAATGAAGACCAATGGATTTAGCCAGTTACATCAATGCAACAGTTTTTAGCATTTTACCATGCAACTACTGATCGACACTTTGATTGGTTCCCTGTTGTTGCATGCTACTCCTTTATCTCTTAGTTACTGAAAAATTCTGTTGGCAAGGAACATTACCAGTTATGTATTTCTAGATTATTGATATTTACAAGGGACATATCTGGTAACTGGAGGATCCACAAGCTGGAAATGAAATCAGGAGATTGGCAAACCTTTGGTCTTTTGGTATTCTTTCATCTATGAAGATGAGAGGTCTATGGAGTATGGAGTTTATGAGAAAAATAAAAATCACAAGCAGAATGCTAAATCTAAAGAAGGCCCTCTGCTAAGGCTGGGGTATGACATTAACTACGGCAGCTGCATGTTTGCTAGAATCGATAAGGATGTCCAGCAAATGGAAGAAAAATATTACGAATACTTACTCTGAGTCTGGCAGAAAATGATAATCCACCTTTTAGTCTGACTGCTTATTGGCTGATGCGGGGTAGTACACAGGTTGCACTTCACACGATCACTCATTTCGTGCCTTGTGACAGATGTCATAAAAATGAAGAGTCTAGAGGGCAAATCATTTGTCACTAACCTTTCTATTTTTGCAGCTGTATATTGAGGGCCTTTGTCATGGCAATTTGCTGGAGGAAGAAGCACTAAACATATCAAACATTTTTAGAAGTAATTTCTCTGCACAACCGCTACCATCTGAGATGAGGCATAAAGAGTTTGTCATGTGTCTTCCAGCCGCTGCTGACCTAGTCAGAGATATCAGAGTAAAAAATAAACTGGAAACAAACTCTGTGGTTGAGGTAATTAAACATGATTTTTTATGCATCTTTCTCTTCTTTTAATTCTCTTTCTCTCTTTTCTTTTCAGTCTTTTTAGTTCCTCCATAAATCTGATGAATCATGTGATCTATGCTTTTTTTTGTCTGCAGCTGTATTTTCAGATTGAACCTGAAGAAGACACTTCCTTGATAAAATTAAAAGCAGTAATAGATCTCTTTGATGAACTTGTGGAGGAGCCACTTTTTAATCAGCTAAGGTATAATGAGACTGTTCTCTCTTGTATGACCACCTGTTGAGGCTTCAATACATACTGAGATTGCAGGTGTATCATTTGATACTTCTCAAGCTCCAAACCGGCCTTAATAGTGAGAGAGTAAATTAAATACAACTTTCTTGTGATAAGTGTTGTGACTCATATTCTGTGAGTCTGACATGCTTTATGTGGAAGCCATACCGTTATACATGCTTTGCCTGGAATTTTCTATAGTTCCTTTGAATCCGTTATACATGCTTTGCCTGGAATTTTCTATAGTTCCTTTGAATCCTGACCCACCTTACGCCTCTCTGGTGGTCAAGTATTTTCCTTCCATGCATCTTTGATATTTTCCAATGGGACCTTTTCTGGATGTGTTCATCATATTTCATTACCTCTTATACACTCTGAGTGACTCATCTTCAAGTGTTCTTATGTTATATTAATTTTAGGTTATGACTCATCATATATCTTTTTTATTTTCAGTCGCTTCCTGTATCTTTGAGAACATTTTTTATGTGTGCTTTTATCCTGGTTATGTGTGAACCAGCAAACATGTCCATAATCTGTTTGCAGTTATGGATTTCTACCTTAAGGACTGTCACTTTATTGAATCTACCTTTTCTACTCTGAAATAGGACAAAGGAGCAGCTTGGTTATGTTGTTGACTGTAGTGCACGTGTAACATATCGCATAATGGGGTTCTGTTTCCGTGTTCAGTCATCTGACTATGATCCTGTCTACTTACAAGGGAGGATTGACAACTTCATAGATGGGGTGAAAGAGTTGTTGGTAAGCTTAAACTTTAGTTTTGTTTTGAGTTTCGTGAGTAGCTCTATGCTTTATTTAACTACTTGCCTCTTCTGCTGCTTTGGGTTTTGTCATAATACCTTTCCGAAAAGTAGAAGATGGTTCATAACACATGTTTTGAAATACCAAAATTGTACATTGTGTTGAGATATATGTTGCATGGAGTAGGATATTAGTAGCAAGTGCTGCTGTTTGAGGATGTTTTGGAATTAGGAATTCATGTGTGCACAATAAGGATTATGGCTAAGATGAACTAAGTTATATAGGATCTGAAACTTCCTAGGTAGGATTGAATTGTTTAGTTGTTGATCAGAGACTTTGCATATGCCTAAAACTATTCATGACTAGGATATGTCCCAAGGTTATATACTTGAACCTTAATTTACGTTATTCATTGGGTACTGGGATGGGATGAATAGGAAGATAGGGTTTCTGATGTTTGCACGGCTGCAATTTGGCGATGTTTAATTTCCGGCACATTATTGAACATTTTTCAATTGACAGGATGGCCTCGATGATAAATCTTTTGAGAGCTACAGAAGTGGGTTGATAGCTAAACTTTTGGAGAAAGATCCATCGCTCGCATATGAAACAAATCGCCTTTGGGGTCAGATTACTGATAAAAGGTATTTGGTCTATGCCATGTTGTACAATGCTAGGTATCTAGATGTCACCTATTTATTAATAACGAAGAGTTTTGGAATGTGATGGTGCATTATTTTTTGCAGTATATCCTAATATTTTAATCATAATATGGTTAATGTAAACATCTAGAATCATGTAAAAGCTTTTCAATTCAAAAAATGTTAACACCGATATTTCTTTATTATCTTTTAAGTACGGCGAAATCAAGTTTGCAGGATGCTCCCAGTCACCTTTCCCAAGGTTAACATCTCCTAGCTTTTCCATCTAGCTACACCACCTTCAAAGGGTTTTCGCCGGCAACGTCTAGCGGATTTTCTTTTCTTAGCCGTAATGGATGACAATACGATATATTTTGCTGTGGGTTTCAAATCGTATGATATTACCAGGGATGAATCAAGGGCAGAGCTGGACAGAACGAAGTCGCAACATGATCAAGAGAACTTTTTTCAGCCAAAAGACGATGGAATGGCTATGTTTTGCCATCAAAGAAGCTTCGAAAACAAAAGGAAACTCAGTTAGAGAATGGAAATTCCAAGATCACCTTTCAGAATTTTTCTGCTCGAGATACTTTAACAAATATGGTCGCTACATCAGTATTATTGGTTTGCAAGGCAAGGCTCCGGACAGTTGAAGATCAGCCATTATTATACCAGAATTGGCATTCAGTATGGGGTGGATGGACATTGCATTTAAGATCTCAAACTTCATTAATTTCAAAGCCCAGAAGGCAGTTACATTTACTCCCAGGAGTGCAGTTGAAGGTCTTCTTTACACAGAAACAATCAGAAGAAATAAATGGACTACTAGAGAAATAAATGAAGCCAATATTCAGGGAAAAGGTGGTGTCATCAGATTGTTGGAAGGACTCAGGCTCTTCTCTAAACAAACTCCTTTCCAGGAGTGTGGTGGGTAGTCTACCTTTTGGGATCTCTGACACTCCCCCTCAGAAATTCGTCGATGGGATAGTAGCACTTGGAAGCAGTCACACGCAGTCAATATCTATGAGATGGGCTATAATTGCTTCCTCTTCGCTTTCCTTCGAAGAAAATTGCAGAACACATAAGGGAGTCTGGTACTGGAAATTCCACAAGTTTATCCTTCAATGGTGGTCTCCAAATGGCAAAACTTGGATCAAGTTAGTGGGACTGCCATTACACCTATGGTCTCAGAAAGTTTTCAGAGAAGTGGGAGACTTTTGTGGCGGTTGGATTCAGATTGAAGAAGAAACGGAACTCAGAGATCATCTGAAATGGGCAAGGTTGCTGGTGAAAGGGAATGAAGATCTAATCTCGAAGATGGTTGACATAGAGAGTGCAGGGATTATCTTCTAGATTCATACTTGGTGCGAAGCTCCGGTGAGATTCTGTTCCGGCAATGACAGTTTGGAGAAAGACCTGGACCGGTGGATAATAGAGCCGCCTTCAGTAGCAGGGAGAGGGGATCAAGACTTCAGCCATGGGATGGGGCACGGGGGTTGTTCTAACGAAGTACATCCTATGTCTAATTCTATAAAGGTCACACGTGTTCTGGCACGTGAGGAGGCTGACCCTACTACTGATCCGTTAATTACAAGGCCTCGGTTTGATTTTAAAAAAGAATTTGGGTCCTGACTTTTTGGCCCAATGTCTCATGGAGGACAAGTCGACTAAAGGTTTTAAATCAGACATAAGGTCCGACCCACCGGTTGAAGAAATACCTGCTAACTCTCCTTCTTCTCCGATCATTGTACAAGACGCGAACCCCCATACAGAGCCAAACCCGGAGAACATGACCATAACATCAGAAGAAGAGAGAAACATAGAAACCCTAAATAATGCATGCAGCGAAGAAGACAACATGAATTCTGCCAAAGAAATAGCAAGTTCCTCGATCAACATATGCAAATCATCGTAACATGGGAAGAAACGACCTGGGCAATTGAAAAGGTAGAACCACTGCTATTTAAAACCAAGAAGTTGAGGACCCTGAATTCGACACTCTTATTTGGATTCACCAGAACATCATCAGACTAAGCAAAGAATTTGATGGAGATTTCAAAGGATGTGAAAAGGAGGCTTTACAGTTACTCATGAAGATCGATCCTAAGAGGCAAACAAACAAGGTCGACACAGAATTTATGGTGGCATCAACTCCAAAAATAAAGGGTTCCAAAGAGCTCAAAAGTCTGGATATAGGGAGTAACTTTCAGAGCAATATCACCAGTAGTAGGGGTGTTCCTTATCAATAAAGATCAATGAAAGTCAACATCATATCCTAGAATATAAGAGGTTTAAACAAGGAAGAAAAGAATGATCAAGAGTTGCATCAACACCTGGAAAGCTGATATATATTGCTTTCAAGAATCCAAAATAGAAGGAGACATCAAGGGAATTGTAAAAGATCTTTGGGCAAACAGATGGGGGAAATTTACGCGGTTGGAAGCTTGTGGAACAAGGGGAGGCATCTTAATTATGTTGGATAGCAGGATTTGGAATGGGGAAATCAGCAACTTGGGATCCTTTTCTATTTATTGCAAATTTCACTGGGAGAACCCAGGATTTCACCTGGCACTTAAGCAGTGTTTATGCCCCTAATGATAGACAAGGAAGAGAAGAGGTTTGGTGGGAAGTTGGTGTAGCTAGGGGCTTGTTCTCTGGCCCTTGGGTCACTTGTGGGGATTTTAACACAGTTCGATTCCCCTAAAAAAAGGTTGTACCCGATTCACTAGATCAATGAATGATTTCTCTGAATTCATTGAAGATATGGGCTTGGTGGACTTACAATTGTTTGGAGGAAGATTCACTTGGAGAAGAGGAGTCAGATATAATACTGCAACTAGACTAGAAAGATTTTTGATTTATGAAGACTGGGATAAGGCTTTAGAAACATAAAACAATCAATTCTTCATAGAGTGACTTCTGATCACACCCCACTTTTACTGCAATGTGGGAACGATGAGCCAATTAAATCTTATTTCAAATTTTAAAATTGGTGGTTGAAGAGATGGGTTCAAAGACAGTTAAAGACTGGTGGAACCTATGTTGCTCGGACTCTCCAAAGATGTTACCGGATGTGTGTCGGATCCTTCAAAAGTAGTGTATTTTTGGAGGATCCGACACGGGTGCGGCAACATTGAGGAGAGTCCGCGCAACATAGGGTGGAACTCAATTACATGTGAAGGAAACCCTTACTACATCCTAGCCTTCAAATTGAAAGCCTTGAAAGACAAAATTAGAAATTGGAGCAAAACTATTCAAGGGAACCTGGAGATGCAGAAACTCAGCATTATCACTTAATTGTGTGAGCTAGATGAGATTCAAGTTTACAGGAACTTAAATGAGAAGGAAATACTCTCTAAAGCTACACTTTCTTGGAGTTTGAGGAAATCGCTAGACATGAAGAGGTGGCATGGAGGCAGAAATCCAGGGCAACGTGGTTGAAGCAAGGAGATAAGAACACTAAGTTCTTCCACAGAACAATTAATGCTCACAGGAGGCAAAACAACATTGATCAACTAGAAATAGAAGGACAATATGTGAGGAACCCTGCTGACATCAAAAAAGAGATTGTAACATTCTATCAAAGCTTGTACTCAAAAGCAGAAGAATGGAGACCTCAAGGCAACCCAGAGTATGTCCCACAAGCACCATAGAAGATAATCATATGCTACATAGTCCATTTGAAGCTTAAGAAATTTGGAGCAGTGTCCAAGCATGCGCGGGAGACAAACTTCCTGGCCTTGATGGCTTTTCCATGGCTTTTTTCACTCATCGGTGTGAGGTGGTCAACACTGATTTTATAGCAGCTGTTCAGAACTTCCATGAAAGAGGGGTCTTCGAGAAATGCTTCAATGCCACTTATGTGGCCTTGATTCCAAAGAAGGGTACAAAAGAACTGAAAGATTTCAGACCTATAAGTCTTCTAATCTCAAAGCTATTGACTGAGAGACTCAAGAAAGTTGTGCACAAATTGGTAGATACTCAATAGATGGATTTTTATCAAAGGTAGATGAATTATGGATGCCATCATCATTGCTAATGAGTGTATAGATGCTAGAACTAAAAGCAAGAAATCAGGAATATTATGCAAACTAGACATCCACAAGGTTTTTTTGATCATCTAAATTGGAACTTTTTGCTTGGACTTCTAGTATGGGCTTTGGAGATATATGGGTCAACTGGATTAAGCTCTGCATAAGCATAGTAAGATTCTCTATCCTTGTAAAGGGTTCTCCAGCTGGTTTTTTCCCATTACAGAGAGGAGGCAGGGTGATCCTGTCTCTCTTTTCCTATTCATTATGGCAAGGGAACAAGCAAGGAAAAACTTCACAGTCAAATCAGCATAGAATTCAACCTAGCTAACAACCAGATTGGTTCCTATCCATGGAAGCTAATTTGGAAAGTTAAAATTCCATTTAACATTGCCTGCTTTACTTGCTGTTGGCTAAAAAATCAGTTTTGACTCGGGACAATCTCATCAGGAGAGGCTTTCAACTATGCTCCAGATGCTACCTATGTGGTGAAGAAACTGAGACGATCAACCATTTTTGTTGCACTGTAGGATTACATAGCAAATATGGAGGATTTTCGTTAATCTGAAAGGGATCATGTGGGTAATGCCTAGGGTATACTGGATGTTCTAAGATGCTAGAGGCCCAGTGGCGAAGCCAGGAAATTCAATAAGGGTGTTCAAATTTTTAACACCCTTTGCCAATGGGCTATGCAAGGGTGTTCAAAGTCTATTTTTTAATAAAAAACAAGTAATAGTTTACCCTATACATAGTATAATTTTTCGGCGAAGGGTGTTCAGTTGACCACCCTTCGCCGTACATAGCTTCGGCCCTGGCTGGAGCAAACATGGTACTTCCCCCAACTAGAAAGAGAGATGGAAGATTGTCCCACCCTGCATTTGGTGAACAGTTTGGTTAGAGAGAAACCAAAGATGTTTTGAAGACAGAAGAAGCACTATCTCTTTCTCCCCACTTAACACTGCTCAAACTTCT